GGAAACATGTCAGACCTGTGGAGGGATGGGAACTGTCAGCCATGGAGGGTGGTGGGGGGACAAGGGAGAAGGGCGAGGAGAGGCACATCTCCTGGAGGGCTCTTCTCACTGCCCCCAGGCTCCCCAAGGGCTGCACACCCCAGCCAGCAGGCCCTGGGAAAACCACTGCTGGACTGGGGCTGGGTTAGGGCTAGGTGGCGGACACAGCATGGCCACGTGTTTGTACACACCAGGCCCTGGCAGGCGGTGTGAACCGTCTGCTCAGGATGTGAAGTCACGCTTTTGTGGATGTGCCATGGAGGAGCCTAAACTTCTGGCTCGCTTCCTGTTTTGCTAGGACACTTGGGACAAAGCACTGGTCTCTGAAGATGCAGATGAGGGGCTGTTGCTGGTGGTCAGACTGTCCCTGCCGCTCATTCTTTTCACGAGTGGTAGGCACATCGCAGCAGAGATCAGACTGAAAAGGAGAAAGGCAGCCCTGTCTGGGTGGTAGTTTTATGGAGGATTTCGGTCCTTGTTTGTCATAGACATGTGGCCTCATTGAAGTAAAAAATCCTGTAGCGTGCACTTTCCAGAATGACTGGCCACCCTTGACTGAGTGTGGCGATGGGACTGTTTGGGGCTTAGCTTTCCTTTTTCTTGGTTTGATTATAGGAATGCTCCCTTCCACCTTCTGTTACTATTATCTTTTTTTTTGCGCTTTTTCATGAACTTCATTTCTGATTTCCATTTTTTTTTCCTTTGAGCTTTTTAGGGTTATCTCCGCCAGGTAAATCCCTAAACTCTTAAGGCTCACTTTATTTTCTCAGCAGCTTCCTTGTATCTCTTATATGATCTCAGCCCATGAACATTAATCAACAGAAAACCAAATCCATCATTGTGGGCACTGCCACCAAGATACCACTCAGGCTTTGGCCCTCCCATCATCTTATTCTATAAAGCGGGACTCAATTTCCCATAAGCAGGAGCAGAATCTCTATTTAAATCCCACTTGCGAGGTCTGGGCGAGCTTCCTATTTATAGTAAAATCCTTTTTATAATGATCTCATATACGGTACCAGGAAATTGCTCAAGGCTGGGTCAGGCCATAGGCCAATAAAGCCATGGTGTGAGCTTTCCTTAAAAAAATACCTCCATGAGCCTCTGGAATTCTCTGGAGAAGTGTTTCACAGAGTAGATGACAATAAACAGGGTCACCTGGGATGGGTCACTATGGTAGGGACATTAAATTTCAGTTCAAAGGGAATTGCCGCTTTTATCAGGCCAATCTCAATAATTTTGATTGCCTTGGACTTCCTACATAACGTATTAGGTGAATCAAGCTCTAAAGAGATTTATGAAATATTGCATATACAAGGTATGGCCAGAGAGTGTTTGCCTCTGGACTTCCCAGAGACAGAGAAGTGTCATTATGGGCTGAGAGTCCCTGGAGACACAGACCACCTGGAGGTGGAGCTTGCCTCCTGCACTTCTGGAACTGGGACCTGGAGCCAGCCCCTTAATCACTTTGGACCTTAGTTACTTCATCTGTCAAGTAATCCCTATTTCACAAAAGTTTTGTAAGAATCAATGAAGTAACGTATGTAAAGCATCCAGTGTAAGATCCGTCACAGTTTTGTAGTGTAATGAAATAAATGTCTGCTGCTTTTTCTTCTCAGAAAGCAGTTCAAGAAGTGGGCGGCTGAGTGGGTAGGTGCAGCCTGCTGTCCCCTTCTCAGGAGACAACGAAGCGTAGTCTTACATACTTTTCTTGTGTGTTTGTAGAGAGGGTGATGTTTCTCCTTCCATAGTAGGGGCACCGTGTCATTCTTCCAGCAGCCCAGGGCCCTCAGCCACCCACTCTCGTGTACTCCGGGAGTTAGACATGACACCAGGCCAGATGACTGACCAATCCATTTGGACGTGGACCAGCTCTGCTCTCTGAGGACGAGGGAAATAAACCAGGCAGTGAATGATGTTCAGAGCAACCAATAACTCTGCCCCAGGGAACGCAAACACAGCGTTCTGTGCCCGCCAGGAAGGGGTCCCAGGGGTATCGCTGTGCTGCTTGCTTACATCCCTGCCATCCTTATCTGAGCCACTCATCCCACATTGTTATTAACCATTTCCTGTGTGGAGGGTATGTAGGTGTTCCAAAGATGAGTTAGATGTGACCCCTGACCGGAAGGAGTAGATCATTTCACATGGGGAGGTGAGGGAGATATACGCAGATATGGACAAGAGAAGCATCGTGGATGTGATGGCAGCAAAGCACCCTCCCCAAATCCTGACTGGCCATTTCTGGCTGGGGAATTAGGAGTGTGCCATGGGGGAACTCTCACCCTGAAACCAATCCTAAATACCAAAACGTGTATGAGAACCAGATGCAAAGGCTATTGATTAGTCTATCTCATGCCATTTTACCAAGATGGAAGAAAGCTTTGAGCTCATTATCATGAGAAGAGAGTAGGAACTGAAGCTAAAAGGATTTCACTGGAAATGAAGTATAACTGTTCACTATCACTTCCTATATTGGGTCATTGCTCCTAAAACTGACCCCCCCCTCCAAGCACCTTCCCCCCATCCCCCCGCCCACTCCCGGCATGTCACAAGTGCACACCCAGGAATCTACAAGATTTTAGCACCTTCTTCACCCCTTTGGCCAGGCACTTTGTGTAGCCAACAACTAATACAAATAATGTGGGGACCCTGCTCCGATTCAGTCTCCTCATAAACTTCTGTTCATCAGATTAAATTCTGTTCCTTTGGTCTTTTTACATAAGATCAATTTCTCCATCAATATCTGCTTTGCTCTACTAGATCATTTCAGAATTTTTCATTTCTTGCAGTATTGGAGTCCCTGATTCAATGGGATGTTCTACCAATGGTCTCTTGGTGGCAAAACTGTACACAGGAGCAGAATTCCCTGGGAGTTCCTACATTCTATATTCTACTTCTTCATCCTCACAAATCACAAGGGATTTAGTGGGTTGGAGAAAACCAGATTCTTTGGTTGAAAAGGGAGAAAAATCTGACATAATAAGTCCCTAATAGAACAGGAGAGAGACAAATGATGAGATGGGGTCTTCTGAGAGTTTTAGTGAGATGATGTACATGGGATTCTTTGGTTTCATGCAGGAAGCTACCTAAGCTGTGTCTGGCATATCCACATTTTAGATCTAGTTCATATCAATCATGAAACTTAGCTTTGGTTTACACTCAGCTCCTAAATTTAATATTCCCCACTTCTTAATGTTCACTTTTTGATTGATTGCCATGATAGCCTCTTAATGAGGAAACCCTGAGTTTATTTGCCTCATGATGTGCTTGGGTTTTCTTAAGAGAGTTCTAAAAGTAGTTAAGATGGCAATTGAGAAAGAAGAAAGGGACTTCCTTCTATGGATTTGGGTAATGAATATTTTATAGGCAGAGTAAAATTTTTGCGGAAGTACTGAGTTTTCAGTACAAATTATTTGGAAAAGCATTGTGTGTGACATGCAGATATCTTTGAGATGCAGTGACTGATGAAGAAAAACCCACACTCCACAGGCCACGGGGTATGGCCAGCTCCTCTGCCTGCCCCCCAAACAGCCAACACTTTCCTTGCAGAGATTTGTCTGCCTCCCTGAAGATGAAAATCAATGACTTAGAAACTGATTAAACAATTCAAATAGCAACTGATAAATGGATTAACCCTCTATAATGTAATTCTGCAAGCTTTTGTCTTCTGCCTTTACCAGGTAAGTTTTTCTATTCCTGGAGGCAAAGCGGAGGCATGGAGGAAGTGAAGACCAGAGGGAATCATATTAAAGTGGGTGAATCCGTTTATCACTTACTGTCTGGATGGTATTTCTGCTCACATATCTGTTTCCTTTTACAGATTTGTACCCTACGGGACCCTGATTAATGTGAGCCAGTGAATAATGAAAGATAGCAGCAGACATTGGGTATAGCGAGGTGGAAGATACCCCCGTGGTTTAGGCTGGTCCCATAAATGGAGAGATTTTTCTTCTTAGTCACAAACAGGGGGAATGCTAATGTGACAAAGAAATGTCCACAACAGGGATAGAAAAACAGGAAAATGGAGGTGTTTTTTCCCCAGACAAAGAACCTGTCCAAGGCTTTACGCCCAGCCCCTAGAAACTGTGAATGATTTTATTGCTCAAGGACATGTGCTGTTCTCACAAGATTTTGTTTTTAAGATCATGTCCCCAAATTTTTCTTTGCCTTTCCTTTGTATAGGACTTTCATCATGGGTGGCTTATGAAGGTCTTACGCCTCAAGACATGCTCACTAATTCACTTTTCAGTCAGTCTCTGGCGTGAGGCTCAGCTAAGTGTCCAGTCTGATTCTAGGCACTTGGGGTCTGCTGATTACTAGTCCTGAGTGCGCTTTCCATGACCGCGAGTCTGGACTTTAGGGAGATGCGTCTGAACAAGCATGGACACCTGTGTACCTGCCAAGATGTGCATCCAAGTCCCCAAGAGCATCTTCAGTGGCCTTTCTGGAAATGAGCACCCATCAGTGAATGCTTCTTTGTTTTCCTTTTCAGGCACAGGAGGAATATCTCCTAAATAAGAACTCTTTCTCAAGCACAAGGCCTAAGCATTGACTGTCCTCTCTCTAGTCATACTACCGTTTATAACTGCCATCGGGTGTTCGGCGCCTTGGCCCTGAGGGCTGGTTGTTCAGGGATGAGAGAAGTTCACTTGACTTGTAGGCTGGATGCTTTGGTCATCCAGGGACATAATCAGAGGAGTAGGGTTGTTTCTATAAAAGCACAGAGCTGGGAAATGCTGCAAAAATCAAACTAAGCTCTGCATGCCTTGCAAGATGTTCATACTGTTGAACCGAAGAAGGTCAAAAAGAAAGCAGCCCGAGTTAACAACTTGGTTGTAACAAAAACCTTAGATTCTAGATTTCAAATGCTTGCTGGAGCCAATTCTGCCACGCTGTAGGAGAAGGGCCAGTACGAATTCATCTCAACCTAACATTGGATTTCTAAAAATATGTTTCTACAGCCCAGAAAGGACCGGATGGGACAGTCATTCCCAATAACTACTGCGACTTCTGCTTGGGGGGCTCTAACATGAATAAGAAGAGTGGGCGGCCTGAAGAGCTTGTGTCCTGTGCAGACTGTGGACGCTCTGGTGAGTGTGGCCCCTTCTTGCATCTGTGCCTGTAGACCAGGACCTCTTCCACTCGCATTCCTCTGCCATCTTGTGTCGGGGTTGAAGGGTGGACCGGAGAACTGGTGGTGGTGGTGGTGGTGATTTCAGATGGAGAGGAGTTTTCCAGTCATTGGACGTTTTTCTTCTTTGGGTCATAAGAACCAAAAGTTATGCCCTGGGATCCAGGGAAAAGGGAAGGGAGAAGTTTTTGACTCGTGTTTGGTCTCTCCATGAAGTGGATATTTCTTTGTGTGTGTTGTTGTGGACGATAGTGAGATAGTGTGGAAACACCTGGAGACACAGGCAACATGCTTCCTTGTATCTGGTGATGCACATGTAACAAAAAGATGTTTGTTCTGTGTACGTGCCTGGGGCAAACCGGAAGAGCGTGGAGACATGAATATTGGGGGAGCAGCCACACCTTGAGTTGTGGGAGTCAGAAACCCCTGGGCTCCTGAGTAGTTGCATAAATACCATGTCCATTGGCCTCTCATCCCATTTTCTCATATAGAACAGACCAGAGAGACCCCGATAGATCAAGGAGACAAAAGGCAGGCGTTCTTAGAGCTAATCTGGAGCTGACTGGGCATGTTTTGAAATTTTCATCTTTAACCTATCCAAAGACTAAAATAACAAAAAAGGACTTTGATCTTGTGCTTTTATTCTTAAAATGAGTTCAGGTTTTCAAGTTTTGTTAAGCTGCTATTTTGTTTTTCAGCTCTAACCAAACCATTACGTTTGGCTGGTTGAGGTTGGTTGGTAGTACCTGTTTTTCATACTGTTTTATGTCATAACGAGGCCAAAGAGAGATTTCAGACTCATCTTTAGTCTTATCAGTTGCTGCCTAGTAGGTGAAATACAGTTCAATTGGGTGGTTGGTTCCAACAGCAAGGAGTCATTGCTGCTTTCCACACTTCTCCCCAGTGTCTTTTCTACCCTGAGTTCCAAGAGAAGGACTGAGATGACCACACCTGGGTTTACTGTAGCAACTCAGCTATTCCTTTGCTTTGTCCGCAAACCTTAGCTTTAGTCCTTTTATATTTGGCTTTTGGGTTGTTTAGGGTTCAAGACGGACCTGAGTAGCAAGTCAGTAATTGAAAAAGGACTGGTTTCCATTGCACACAATTCTCAACATTTAATGCTTAAGGACCCTGACAGGGTGGCCCATCTGTGCAATTCTGCCAATTCATTTCCTCTCCAAACATGATGCAGATGTTGAACTTCTTACTCTGTTGGTGCTAGCTTAGAAAAGAGGGTCCATGTGATAAGGGGACCCTGGGTTTTAGATATTTACAAAGAAAATGAAACAAATGAAATGCAATTCAGTGTTTTTTAAAAAGTGAATGGTCAGATAAAATCTCTGCCACGAGAAACAAAGTCACGTGGCAGAGTGATATTCTAGGCAGAATGATACTGGACTTCTGTGGGTGTGGCATACGTTAGACAGGGCAGCTTCAGAATTCTCACTGCAGGCAGCTGTAACTTTCCCTCTTCCTTTTCTACAAAAGATGGGGATACCTGACTCTGATCCATCCATGCGGGACCAGCAGTGGTCAGTTGGTGTTTTCTATCCATAGCCTCTCTCTTCATAGCTGTTACTCATCGTTTTCTTCCCAGGATCTGTCTGCTATGTGATTCAGGGGGCTATTTTATACCAGTGTAGGTGTTCTTCTTGCATTAGCCAAGGATTAATTTTGGTGGATAATTTAGTCAAGGTCTGACCCTGATGTTCCTGAAATAGTTGATACCTTGGGAATAAACAAGTGGCATTAGCCCATGGGATGTGCTTGTTAAGGCAGGTGGGCGAATACGTCTCTAGGGCCTCCCTGGAGTCCTTACTTGGAAGAGCGATCTTTCCTTTTCCATCTACCCGACCACCTCTGTTTCCTGGGAGAAAATGATATTGACACCATAAATGGCACGTCATGACCTCATTTGGGGCAGTCCTGGGACCCATTTAGAAGGTAAAAAATTTAAACCCGAGTTTTACAAATTTCAGGATACTGTATTTTATTAGGCTTTTAACCCCCATTTCCCACTTCCTTAGTACTCTGAGTTAGATTTAACAACTTTGGACTTCTTGGGATAACTGAGACCTGGGCATGTTGAGTGGCTGGCGTGTGTGTGTGTGCACGTGCATGCGTGTGCACACGCATGTATGTGTATGCACACATATGTGGGTGCAGATCACAGAAATGTCCTCCAGTGCTTAAAGAAAACGAAAGACTCTGATTACCTACCACTTGTCAGACTTTCCAACCTCTGTTTGCTTTCAGTGCAAATGAACTACATGGTGTAAGGGTGGAATTGAAAGGGTACTGAAAGAACGGGATTAGAAACGGGTAAAAATAAAAATAAAATGAATGGAGGCTTAACCACCTTGAACGGGTTATCTGACAGTAATACCTTTGTAAAGCTGACTGTCAAAGTGAAGGACAAACATTGTACAGAGAAACACCAATGGAAGAAATACCAACCAGACTTGAAAACCACCAAGGAAATGCGTTGTCAGGGGCAGGGTTGAGTGAATGTGCATGTGTATGTGTGCATCCAGAAGAGACGAGAGAAAGTTCTGGGGGTGACTCTTTCACTGTCAAAGCTGTGGACGTGTATATTATGAGGAGATAATGCCTTTTCAGGGAGGGAGGAATCCTTTTCCCTGGAAATGTTGGCTTTGTCCCTTTACCCCAAGTCCCTGTCACCAGGTGATGCACCCAGTTAATCTCTTTTGGTGTGGAATGGTTTATGATCTTGCTCTGAAGAATAACACTGTAATAATGTGATAAGAATATTAATAATGCTGTCTGTTGCTTAACCCATGTGCTGATATATTCATCATACATGTCAGCTCATTTGGGAGGAGAAGGCAGGAAGGAGAAGGAGGCAGCGGCCGCAGCACGCACCACGGAGGACTTATTCGGTTCCACATCAGAAAGTGACACCTCAACTTTCCACGGCTTTGATGAGGACGATTTGGAAGAGCCTCGCCCCTGCCGAGGACGCCGCAGTGGCCGGGGTTCGCCCACAGCAGACAAAAAGGGCAGTTGCTAAACACACGAACAGACTCTCTGGGCAATTAGCCATCACCCTCTGACTTTGGTCATTGTTCTGGTTCTGATATATTTTTTTTAATGAAAGACAACTGTAGGTGTTCCCTTCATCCTTGCTTTTCCCTCACCTTCCATGCACCCCTTCCCCCTTTCCCTCTAGTTTGCGTATGTACAGCAGAAGCACAAACTACTGAAACAAAACAGAACAAAAGAACAGAATAACAGTCCTTCAGAGAGATGGCATCGTGTTGTACTATTTATTTTCCATAGAAATGGGAATTAGGTGAATGATCTCTTTTTGGGGGAGGTGGGGATCTTTTTGACATGAGCAGAGTTGATTTCCTCAGTTTTCCTATTTATTGGCAAAATGAAGAGAGGAGGAATATTGGGTTTGAAACAAAGAACCAATAACATTAAATAAATTATTATTTATATATTCTAACTATTATTAGAAACTTTTTTGGGGGAGAGAGAGAGAGAGAGAGGGAGGAGAATGAAGGGAAATCAAAGAAACTGAAGTAATATCCTGTTTAGAAGAAAGCCACTGGGGAGAGAATTGATTCAAGGAGACCTAGTCAGGAGGCTTTCCTCGATGGGAGATGACTGCACTTTCCGTCTTCCACCGAGTGTGTGGCTCCCCATGGCAGACCCCTTCCCCAGTTCTCCTCCCTGACCTTTCCACCTCCCTCCCCGCTTGTGAGAACATGTCAGCAGTTCCCGACAAGCCTGGGGCTGCTGTGTGTGGCCTCCCTGCAGCACCTGGGCCCTGAGCAGCAGCGTTTCCTGAGCTCCTCCTCTCCGTCAGCATAGCCACTGTTTTTGTGGTGGCTGGTGCTTTCCTCAGTTTCCTCCTGGTGAAGAGCAATTTCCAAATGCAGGAATGGAATATACGCAGAAAAGTCATGGACTCAGCAGTGACAGAACCACCTGAGGCCGCGCTCACGGAAGAAAGAAGGATACCTCACAGTATATTTCCCTCCCCCCTCGCCCCTGTTTACAAACATATAAATTCCTGTTGGATGATCAAGTCTCCTGTATTTCTTCTTCTATTTTTTTTTATAGTGCCCTCCAGGCACTTTGTCTTATGTTTCCAATAGCATCTCCTGAAATAAACCAAAGCAACACTTGCTCAAGGCCCCTGGGGCGATGGAGAAGACCATCCACCTTGTTGGCAGTCCCAAGAACGGACAGCTGTGCGACCCTAGTCAAAAGGTATGTCTTGGCTGACCTGTCTTACCATGAGGGCAAAACCATCATAGTTCTCCCCACCCCTTTTTTTTTCTTTCCTTTTCCCCCCTAGCTTGTCTTGTTTTTCTGGGTTCGGACACTCTTCCTAGTGGGGGAGTAGCTACTGGAGAGCCTTTCCCCCAGCCCTCTGCTGTCTGTGTGCATGTATCCCCATGTGGGCCTGGGCCCAATGTGGGGACTGAAGCTTGCTTGGACTATGGGAGGGGCTCTGTGTGGAGAATGGGGGGGCTTCTGGCTTCTGGCTCAACTGGAAGGGAAAATGGCTGGGGAAGTGCTTGGCTAACTCCCTCCCTTGGCTACACCTGGAGAGGGTGGCACTCAGGGAACTGCCTTTGGAGTTGGCTGCTGTACTTGAGTAGGAACGAGGGGCTGAGGCCATAGGGGGGCTGCATGTTGAGGCTGGTATTCCTTGTTCCAGGTACCAGTTTAACAGCCAAGGGGATATGTCCAAATTAAAGCAGATTTCTTATTAGGCACAACACTCAACTGAGCTGGCCTGAAGATTCTGAACTCCCGCTAAGTGTGGTCAGCATCCCTGGCTTCCATGAGAGCACAGGCCCAGAGACTGGGCATTGCCATGTGGCTTGGGTTAGGAGATCCAAGAGGCCGCTGAGGCAACAGGCTGTTTTTAAGTGTCTGAGAATATCTGCTTTGACAATCCAGCCTTTGCAGGTCCTCATG